GTATCATTGGGTAGATTTACATAAATTTCTGGGTGTCTCTTTTTCTTCTCAGCACCACGAGAACTCTCACTTTTACGCTTGCCAGCCATTTTAAAGAGAATTAAAAACAATTATCAGTACACAGCGCAATCACTAACGTTGGGACTCGTAAATACGTAATTTAATTTTTTTTGTACGACTGGGGCGGTCGTAGGTCGAGTATGTCGTAAGTCGAGGAGTAGCTGTATTTATGAAAGTTCTGTTATTTTTTACTAATGTGTTTTACCTTGCAACTTTGCATTACTCTATTTGATTTTAGTTATTTAAGCCTTAATTTTAATTCGGCCAAATATGATCTATGCTATTGTGTCGCCAGGGATATAATTATCTCAAACAATCTATCATTGGCTGAAAAAACACTTGACCCTGTGTTACATTACCCAGGGTCAAAATTTTCATTTTGTTTAAATTTTATACAGAGGCACTCTACTACTTGAATAGGCTAAAAATTGCCAATTTAAGTAGAATTACTGTTAATTAATGACCCTTGAAATAAGTAACACATTTAGAATATCTAAAATGTCAATACTCTTATGCTATACCTGTAAGTTTTAAATTTATTTTCTACATTTTACAGGCATCCCCTGTGTTATGGAATCTCTGGTTACGGAATTTCGCCCTTACAAAATTTTTAAATTTTTATAACCATAATTTCAGGTAACGGAAAAAACTCGCCATAAATTTTAACCCAAAATTTGACCCAAATTTTAAAAATTATTTTGTGTGGATTCTCTGTGGTAGCCACAAGGCAGTTGGAAGGCTGCTCACCTACCCAATTGCCAGCAGTCACTACAACAATGGCGCTACTCAGAATTCTTTCCCCAGCTCTTGTTCACTTATGCATCTGTGTTACTGTGTACCCTTATTCAAGATGAGTGGAAAAGGCCATAAGTTCAAGCAAAAACAGTGGTGATGAAAGGTTCCATAAAGGAATTGCATTGGACATTAAACTTGATGTTTTAAGGAGGTAACTCCCAGTAATTCTGATCCCACAACCTCACCTCACTACCTCTTTTAGCACTCAACATTGTTTCTGGTAAGTAAAATTTGAGTGTTTTGTTCATTCATTATCATGTTACATCATGAATAACTCAGTGTATTTTGTTAAAACTGTCTATTTTCATACATATACTGTATGTGCTTGTGTCATGTTTTTTGGCCTCAAAAAATTTCCATAGGGACAAATCTCAACTTTTATAATGGGAGTAGAGTATTCCTTTAAAGCTCACGGCAGTTAGTTAAAATGGTCCCTCTGAGAAAGCAAAATCTGCAAGTTTTTCATGCCGGTTCTCGGAGCATGCAAGATACAGTACAGTGGTCCCTCGGTTAATGAACACAATTCGTTCCACAGAGTAGTTCGTTAACCAAATCCATTATTTCAATGGGATATTGGGTAATTGGTTCCAGCTCACAGAAAAGTACATACAAAGTAAACCCAAAAAATGCATGAAGTCAGAAACACTCCTAAAATTCCCTTAAATTGCCCTTAAATCACTATACAGTATATATACGCACATATACACTATAACTCTTAAATCACTACTGTAATGTAATGCAGGTGATTAATGTTTATCTCTTGTGCAAAACATATGACGTTTATATTCAAATTATTCGCTGTCTGGCAAGGATTCCAGCAATGCAAATTATATTCTCCTAACTTTAGTCTGTGATATTATACAAGATAACACCTGTAAGCCTAAAACCCTGACTGGGCAGATGGGGAAGAGGGAGGAAAGGAGCGGGAGGCGAGGTGATACATTTGACAGTTGGCGCCCAAGGTCTAATGTGTGGTTATTTATCAGTCCTTAAGTGACTAAGCTTCTCTCTTATAAAATGCCAATGAAATGACCTGGGAGAATATACTTTACATTGCTGGGATTCTTGTAAGATAGTGATTAATTTGAGTACAGTATTACCCAGCTTTACACGGTTTCACTTTCTGCGATTTCTCATTTACGCGGTACCTTGCCAGAACCGGACTTTCACTTTCCGCGGTGCATCTACTCATATACGCGGTGAAGTATAATTTATATATTTTTTTTTTTTATTTAGCTCATAAAATTCATACAAATTACCCTGCCAGAATATAATTTACATTGCTGGAATTCTGACAATATGATGATCATTTTGAATTTGAACATCATGGATTTTGCATTAGATTTACAAATTTTAGATCTAATGTAATAATTTGGTTTACACAAAGCAAATATTTTATCTTTTGTGCAAAATATATGAAGTTTACATTCAAAATATTCCCTGACCTGCAAGGAATCCAGAAGTGTCAATTATATTATCCTAACTTTAGTCTGAGGTATTATTTATTACTAAAAGTTAAAATCTAGTTTTTTCACCCAAACATTTCTCTGGTAGGGAGGGAAGGTGGGGGGCGGGGGGGAGGGTTGGGACCGACCGACCCAGCTGGCGTGAGTGTGAGGAGGGGGGGAGGCAAGGTGGGGTACTTTGATTGACAGATAGTGTCGTGAAGAATATTTTTTTTTTATTACCTGAAGATATTTGTTTTAGCTCATAAAATTCATACGAATTACTCGGCCAGAATATAATTTACATTGCTGGAATTCTTACAATATGATCATCATTTTGAATATAAAGTGATTAATGAATAAACCAGGGTATATGCAGATGCATAATACTTTACTCTACACTATTACTTATTAAGTGATGATGAATACACTGCAATAGTATTTATTAAGTTAATAACATGACAACAACTTATTTTCTTTCAACAGTTCAGATAAGCAGTGTTATCTCCAACTCCCCCCAGCATTTTAGCTTAAGGTCCGTGTAGGTAACATTCCTACCCCCCTCCTCCCAAATATTCTTCTTTTTTTTCGGACTTTCGCATTTTTTGGACTGGGGTCTGCCCCAATTACAGTACAGTAGTCCGATTTATCGAGGTTCTACTATAATTAAATAAACATGAACTTGAAATAATAAATACTTTGTAGTGTACTTAGGTGTTGACTCCTCTTGATCCCTGGCAACTCTCCCCCTGCCTTGTAACCCCCTGCCAACTCTTTCCTTGCTGTAGGTAAGGTGAATGATGATTATGAAGATGATGATGGTGGTGATGATGTTCACTACCCCTCAACACTACTACTTTGCTGTCACTCGGAATCGAGTATGAAAATCATCCAGCTATGATACAATGATATGAGTTATTAGGGTTGTCACCTAGGTTGGCGAGTTCTGAGGTGACTAAAGAGGCCGATACGAAACCGGCAAGGTTGATCACAGATGTTGCACACGTGGGGGGCTACATCTAGTGCGGGAGGGGCAGCAGCAGTGTCTTTCCAGCGTTGGCGCTTGTCTGCCAGATGAGGGGGTCGATTTGGCACTTTTTCAGGTTTGTCTTAAGACTATCCTTATACCTTTTCAGTTGCTCGCCAGCGTTACGTTTACTATTCGTTAGAGAGGCAGGGATGGCAGGGGAGAGTGGTGGGGAGGAGACAGCTTAGGGGTTGTCCTCATCTTCAGAGAACAAGTTGATGAGCGGAGGGTGTTGGCATGAGGCAATGGCTGGAGTGGCAGGGGCAGCTAGGGTAACAGAAGATTCAGGGGTGGCTGGAGTGGTGGAAGATTAAGTTGAAGCTGGAGTTTTGGGAACTCCGGAGAAGAATAGTGTGATGGGGAGTTGAGATCTCTAGTGCCTTAGATCTTTGTAGATTTCGTTGAGTGGTGATAATATTTGGTTCACACCCCTGTTTATCTTCAGTGCTCAGCCTAGAGATGAGTCTAATTCCCGAAGTGCGTCTTTTCTTGCTTGAAGAATGTAAAAAAAATTTTCTCTAATGTTTTCCTCTAAATCAATTGGATGAAGATATCGTTCCTGATCATCTTGCTCATCTTCTTTTAGTATAGAAGCCAGTTCTTCATTCAATAACTCTTCTCCAGTGATTCCAAGAAGCTTTTCTCTGATTTCTTCTGGTCGTATGTCACCAAATCCCTCCCCACTTGCACCATGCATATTATCTGGGGCTCCACTGAGGGGAAGCCAATGAAATCATTCACTGCTTCAGGCCATAGGGCCTTCCAACAAGAGTTCACACACTTGATAGTGATTTCATCGTGGCTCAATTTAATATTTGCTTTGCTGTCAGCAATGGTGTAATTTTCCACATCTCCTTCACCCCCACCTGGCCATCTTCCTTCAGTGCCTTGTGGATCTTGGAAAACCTGCAACCAAGGTAATATGATTTGAAAATAGTACAGTAATTATTTCTTACGTATTTAAGTTTATTAGATGTTTTAATTGCCTGTATGTTGGCCTGGCGAATTAATGCTAGTAGGCATTTACATACCTAGATATAAAGCTAGATGTCGCATTCTGGACTATATCACAAAAACTGGTTTCTAGAAAAAAAGTCTTTTTTTTTTCAATCCTTGAGTTTACGAGGGATGCAAGCTTTTAAGCCGCGAGCTTTAAGGGAATACTGTATATAGGGTTTTTTTTTTTAGCCTTATCGAATTTTGCGTTTCAGAAAGATTTTCTGGAATGGAATCCGTAACCCAGGGGATGCCTGTACCATGAATGTGGACTGACTCTATCATTTAAACACATTATTTTTCACTTTCCTGATAAAGTCTCACTGGCTGAAAAAAATGCCTGACTTATTAATATTATTGCACATAAGTATTTTATTCTGGCTAATGCCAGATGATTTTATTCTGCTGAGAGAAACCCCTGCCTCGACATTATATCCTTTCTTTCCTTCGTAACTTTCACTTGCATTTGTTCTTTTTGTTTTCTCATCTTATTTAGTTTCCTGCTGAACAGCATCTTGTTCTCCTTAAACCTCGTGATATTTGTTTCCCTACATCTTTTACCTGTCTCATCTTTCTTATTCTCATATATCAACTATATTATAGTTAATTAACATTTTGCTTGTTGACTTAAGAACACGCAGGATTACATATACTGTACTGACAAAGTATCCCTTCAGCCCAGGTTGAAAGACCTGTCAACTTAGCCGCATCTCTTGCGTCCTGCTTGTCGATTGCCTACAACCATCTGCAAACACACTCCAAAGTATCAAGTATGTCAGCGACTCGCACCAAGGCAGCTGTACTAACTACTGCGTATATCTTTACTGTGTTGCATGTAAGTCAACTTTTTACAGTAGCTTTAGATTATTTCACGAGACAGAGAACAAGAATGCTTGCCAATTAAAAAGAAAAACAAAATTCATGTACTGTACAGTAATTCAATACAAAATATAGGGTTAGTGACTGGAGGCCCAAAAGATTCACCAAATATTTTTTAAAAGGTTTATTTATTTAAGACTCCCATGGTCCTAGTCCACACTACCTATTAACCCACCTCACAGTCAGCCTGAATCAGTGAAATTGGCCTCCAGCAATTTTTTTTTCTTTTTGTCAAAGCAATTTTTCCTCCTGTAGGTTGACATTTATGGTATTTCAACAATTTCTATATAGGCAAAATCATGTAAGGAATTACAAGAGCAAATAAAAAAGAAGAAAAAAAAACGATGCTTTTTGGGAGAGTATATTGTAAGTTGAAATTTGTCATTTCATTTTCAATCAACTTTCATTTTAATTATATAAAACACAATTTTCTGAAGGGAATTTTACATAAGAAAGGTATGAAAATCTCAGCTTTCCTATAGTACAGGTGTACCCCAGTAACCAACGCATATAGGGACTGGGAAGAATTTTTGGTTAGTGAATCAGTGGTTATTGAAGCAATTAATACCAAAGAGCTTAACAAATTCAGGGGGTTAGGGAATGACACCTTGCAAAAACTCATCTACCCTCAACATATCTCTGTTGTCCACATTGACAAGCAAGAAAATGTACCAGACATGCATCCTTGTATAAGTCAATCATAAATATCACTAACTACTGTACAATATATACTGAATTTACCTGTGTTAAACCATTGAATCAGCATTCCTCCCCAAGGCTGGAGGAACATGTTGACTGGGGTAAGCTTACTGGGTGAAGGGTCGTTGGGGCCTTCAAACCCAGTGAATGCAGGTGGAGACTCTAGCAGAGGGGCTGGCTGATGCTTTTCCTTCATAAAAAATGTACAGATGACAGAGGAAGTTGATGGTGGAGAGTCTGGCAGAGGGGTAGGTGGAGAGACTGGCTGATGCCTTTTCTTCCTAAAGAGGGCACAGGCAGCAAAGGAAGTTGATGGTTGAGGCTCATCTTTCTTCTGACGGTGAAGCTCCTTGTAATAGCTGGACAAATCCTTGAGGCCATTCCTAAACTTGAAGATGCATTCACCAACAGGGACCAGGTCTAAAACAGTCTGGCTAATGGTCTGCACGCATTCCAGAATTTTTTCAGTGTTGGCTAGAGTTAAAGTAGGGAAGGTGCATGATCACTCCTCTACTTCTTGCTCCTTCTTCTGAACCTCCATCTCCATCAAGTCAACAGGTCCTCATTGCTGAGCTCCTTCTCTTGAGAGACAAGAAGCTCAGTAATGTCCTCTTCTGTGACCTTGTTGAAGCCAGCTTGCTATGCCAGAGAAACAATTGTCTTGGTGACCTCAAGAACATCTGGTGCATGGTTGAAGCCCCTGAAGCTATGGACAGCCTCAGGCCAAAGCTGTCATCACACACTTCATCGTAGCAGGTGACAATTCAATTCTTCCCAGGAATGTGCGATGTTGTCAAGGTCTTTCTTGATGTTGTACCCTTCCAGAAGTTTTGTACAGACAATTCACCACTCTGTTTCTGCTACCAGCTGCACTATCCCATGGCGTGTGAAGTAAGCCTTAAATGTAGCTATTACACCTAGATCAAGGTGCTGGAGCAGTGCAGTGGTATTTGTTTGGTGGCAAAAACAACACCTCGATGTTGTCACACCAGTCAACCATAGTCTGTGAATGGCAAGTGGCATTGTCTAACAACAGGAGGTACTTGTTAGACAGGTTGTTAGCTGCTGTGTACTTCCTTATGATAACCTGAGGAAGAGCAATCAACACTGCCTTCAGTACAGTCAGTGCAGTCACTGGACACATCAGGAGAACAAAGAAAATCACGAAAAAGTGAAAGGACAATCCTACCGACACCGTACTAAGCTTAGTAGCCGAACGTCTACAATCTGGCAAGACTGAAGATGCTTATGACATCGCAGGAAAACACATAGCTTCAAAATTCAGAGTTCTTTCCCGGGATCAACGAATCTATGCAGAAAGACTTGTCAATGAAGTTTTGTTTGAGTCTGAATTTGGAAATCTCAACAGGGAATGCAAACTATGCAGATCAGATAAAATAATCAAAATCCCACCATCGCTGATCTACATCCAATGTCAACAAGCCAGTATTTGGCCTGCTTCAGTCCCGAATAAACGCCTATACAGTAGCCCTTCCCATTACTTCCCCTCCAGTCATCTATAAGAAATCCTCTAATAGGCTATCCTACAATATATAATCCTCTTATAGGTTATATAAACATAATTTTCCATTATATGATTAGGTACACAGCATTTGCAACTCTAGGCATAAAAGGCTATACTGTTTTAGCTACATATTATTAAATGAAGTCCTTACTTACTTTCTCTTGCCATGTATTCACTCACTGAAGGAAATAAACTCTTTTTTTCAATAGTGAGTAGGAGATCTAAAGATTTTAATGTTTCAAAAATATCTTTCCTTGAAATATGTGTCCTTTAAAACTGTATAAATAGGTGTGCAAGTCTCAAGTAAAACTGCACTCAGTGCTTGCAGTGACATCACTGTTGTGTACTGCAAATTGTTATAGGATCTTCCTGTTGCTAGAAACCTGAGAGTAGCTGTCAGAAGTTTGTCAGAACTAATGGCTTTCCACATACAGGTATCCTTTTGTTCAATCAAAGGAATAACCAGGGATAATAGGTTTAAAAAGTTTTCTTCTGTCATACAAAGGTAGTTGTACCAATCAGTCTCTAATTTGGGTTCCTCCAACAAATTCAAATGAGAAAATTGCTTCCTCTTCAACAACCAGTTCTTACACCGCATCTTTTTTGGTCTCCTTTTTCTCTTATTTTTTTGTTGTGCACGCCAAAGCCACAATGGCCACGAGCAGATCTTGATCACGTCCATCCATAATGTACTGTGGATAAAACTTACCAAAAAACTGCACTCACTCGTGGGGTTCCGGATTAACTGTACAGTTTTGATCTGTCAAGTTAAACCAGAGTTAAAAACTGAGTGTGTGTAGTGGGCCATAGGACCCCCCAGCAAATCCTACAGTGCAGTGCTGCAGGCGGACCTCACGAATTCGTGTCTCAGATGTCTGTTTTTCTGCTAATCTGCATTTTCATGGGTGTTCCCCAATTACAGTAAAATTTAAGTTATCAGCCACCTTCGAGGATTGAGAGGTGCTGGAACAAAAATGTTTTGTTTTTTTGGTTAGTTGAAAATCACTCGTAGGATTCCCCAGTAAATCCTACAGTGCTACAGGCTAACCTCGGAAATTTGTCTCAAGACAATGGTCTTCTTTAACACTTATTCCACTCTATGTAAATGATGTGGCTCAGAAATACACTGACTAGCCAGCCTAGATGTCACGTTTAGTGTTTTGTTACATATAATGAAACCATAAAAGTTGTGGGAAAATCATTACAATACAGTAGACATGAATGCATTATCCATTAGGTTTTTACTGTATACTGATATTTACTCTGTTTGTGCTTCTTTATAACTAACTGGCTGTGAAACTATTTCAACAGGTGAAGGGGGAACATGGAAGCCATTGTTGGAAGAACCGGCCACCATTGACTGAGACATTGCTGGTTGAGTCCTTGGAGTTTGCCCGGAATTATGCTTGCACAGCAAGCATGTCCTGGGATGTACTAGCAAGTATTCTAGCAAAGGTGATTTTTTTATTTTATTTTTTTTAATATGTGTAAAGATTTGTGGTTTAACAGTTGGCATAAATTACTATATGTACAGGTAAACCTCTGTGTACGATATGGGTTAGGTTCCTGAAAACTCCATCGCGGGTCAAAATATCGTAAATCACTATCATTATAACATGAGATTTAATGGGATATATTCTTGGCCAGTCGGACACCACATTTATCACCGAAAAATAAAATAATAATAAATCCTACAATACTACTATCAGTACAATACAATTAAACAATACTCACCACATCTTTAAGAACAAGTCTGGTCATCATCACATGCCCCCTTCAAGGCTAAAGGGACTCTTAAGGTGGAGTGGAGACTGGAGACATCCACCTGAGTCTCACAAAGACTTTGGGGAGTCTGAAGAATAGGGACTGGAGGTGTGGCCTCCAGACATGTTCAAAGTTTCACTGCTTACTTCACAGTCACAAGAACACGATAATAGTGATGGGGACTCAAATCTTTTATAAAAAAAACGTAAGAAATGTTGTGTTGGCTGTGTGGTAGGGGATTAGTAAGTTTCAGGTATAGTGATATCCCCGTTAGCCGGAACAATTGGTGCAGAGCACTTCCGGGGATGAAAGATTTCCGGGTAACAAGACGACTTTCTCAAACCTGGAAAAATTCCTTATCCCCGGAACCTTTTCCGGTTACTGGGAATAGTTTCCGAGTGTCTAAACTAGACCTCTTGCACACATGCACACTAGCCCACTTCCCCAGAACATTTCTGGGTGCTGGAGATGTTTCCTTGAGTCTAAACTACTGGAATCCATAAATACAGTTAGAAACTTCATTTCTTTTTTATAATACTGTAATCCTGAATAGTTTATCTAAAAGTTTGGTCAAATAAATAAACCCATAGGCCTATTTAAAAAAAATATATAGTGAACCCTCACTTAACGCGGTTAATTCAACCCATGGCGGCCCGCGTAAAGTGAGAAACGCGTAAAGTGAACAACATAACATGGGATTAATTGAAATAGAGACCGGGCCGACCCCCAAACTCCACTTTTTCAGACACAATACCTACGTTGTAGTAAAAATAACTTCTTAATTTTGTGATGGTATGCACACACAATTTATAATTAAGAGAAATATCAATAATATTAGGTTTTTTAACACTTACATTAGTAGAAAAGATGGTTGGGCACACGGGGATGGGGGGTTGGTTCCGAGGCAGAGGGCAGATTATTGGCCCTCACCTGTATCACTTGTATCAATTGTATCACTATCCACCACAGAGGCTTGCAGGGCCTCTTTGTCAAACCCCTCAAAGTCCATATAAGTCCATATCCTCACTATCATTATCACTATCACTGACTTGGGCCGGCTGTGGTGGGTGGCGGGTGAAGAACTTGGTAATGTTTTGATGACTGGGCGACCTTGTGCACACCCTGCTCGCGCCGCTGTGCGCGTAAAAGGGGACACACACCGCGGAAAGTGAGCATTCCGGTTTCAGCAGGGTACCGCATAAACGTGGAAACGCGTAAAGTGGGACCGCGTAAAGCGAAGGTTGACTGTATAGGATATGGGTATAAATGAAGCTGTGTGTTACAGCAAAGACTGTTATTTTCCACTCACATAACAGGGGCGCACCCAGAAATTGAGTTGGGGGGTCTGGGGGGGGGGGGCGCTGTAAGCCCCCCGAAAAAACAGGTGGACATCTTCCATATGGGCTTACAAGACAATCAAAGGGGGCCTCACATGGACTTGATTGAGGCGCCCTCCCCTAGTGTTACCAAAAAGGGGTAAAAAACCAACCCCCGTACTCAGAGAATTTGTAATTCAACTGTTAAACAGAGGTGTAATAGAACTGTTGCAATCAGAGAAATGTTTCATGTCTCACCTGTTCCCAATCCCCAAGAAAGGCAGCGACAAATCTTTCCGTCCTGAACAAGTTCATTACCAAAACAAGTTTCAAGATGCTCACTTACGATTATCTGAGGCATCTTTTTCCGCCCAATGCTTGGATCTCGAAGATGCCTATTATCATATTCCTGTTGCTCCCAGGTACAGTAAGTTTCTAGTGTTCACAGTGGGGGATGTAAGTTATCAATTTACAGTGATGCCATTCGGCATGACAATTGTGCGAAAAGTCTTTACAAAACTGGCGAACATTCCCAGAAAGATCCTTGCGAAGGAGGGCATCAGGACTTTTGCTTATCTTGACTATTGGCTGATAGTGGAAACTCTTTCGAAGATTGTCAAAGGGCGACCCAATGTACACTAGTACTATTTCAAAACCTAGGATTAAAGATAAACCAGGTCAAATCTAATCTCATACTATATATATATAATATATATATATATATATATATATATATATATATATATATATATATATATATATATATATATATATATATATATATATATATATATATATATATATAATATATATATATATATATATATATATATATATATATATATATATATATATATATATATATATATATATATATATATATATATATATATATATATATATATATATGCTGATAACCACAAGGAAAGAAGAAAACACGAAGTTCCCAAGCGCTTTCGTGTAATTCACATCTTCAGGGGTGAGTACAGACTAGAGAGAAAAATACAAATCAAGGTGTATATATACAGAGAAGGGTGAGACCAGGTCCACAATGGTCAGGTATTAGGTAATGACCCTACTAATCTTTAAATAGCACACAACGGTTGGTGGTCAGGTCAGATGGTCAGGTGACCCGGCCTTCTCACCTGGTCACAAATCTTCTTAATTACAAAATTGTCCAGCTTGTACATGCCGTTACTCAAATTCATGTTGAATGCTTCGGTATGTTTAATAAGACTAGATTCTATGATGTTCCTACTATCAATTGAATTACATGGTAATATTGAGGAGGCATTATCCCAGTCAATGCAATGCTTGTTATCCCTCAAATGAACAAACAGAGCATTGGATTCCTGGCCTGTCCTAACACTGTATTTGTGTTGTTTAATTCTAGTTGCAAGATCTTTACCTGTCTGGCCTAAGTAAAACATATTACATTCCTTGCAAGGAACTTTATAAATGCAACCAATTGTGTTGTTGGGGGAGTTCTTGATTAACATTTGTTTAACAGTGCATGAGTTTTTAAATGCCACATTGACGTTCCAGGTTTTTAGTTGTGAAGGAATGTGAGAAATTTTTGTGAAATGGTAATATTAAGATATTCTTATGGTCATGGTCATGGGTCAGGCTTGGGATCAGTTCTATAAAAACTTGTATACAGTATTACCCGCTTAGCGCTTTTTTCACTTAAGCGCGTTTTCGCATATACGCGGTGCCTTGCCAAAGCTGAACTTTCACTTAACGCGGCATTTTTCATCATATACGCGGTGAGTGTCCGGCTCGAGAGCTATTTTTAGATTCGCACCACCCCCACCCGCCACCCTGCCTGACTGCCTGTTTTAGCTCATAAAATTCATACAAATTACCCAGCCAGAATATAATTTACATTGCTGGAATTCTTATAATTTGGTGATCATTTTGAATATAAACAACATATTTTTTGCATTAAACATACAATTTTTAGATAAAATGTTTAATCTGAGTAAGTATGTTATCTTTTGTCCAAAATATATGACATTTATATTCAAAATATTCCTGGTCTTACAAGGAATCCAGCAATGTCAATTATATTATCCTAACTTTAGTTTGAGGTATTATTTATTAAAATTTAGTGGTTATCCCACACATCTCCTTGGGACGGTTGGTGGGGGGTGGGGGGGAGGGAGGGACCGACCGACCGACCATCTGTTACCCGTGAAGAATTATTTTTTTTTTTATTAACTGAAGATATTTGTTTTAGCTCATAAAATTCATACAATTACCCGGTCAGAATATAATTTACATTGCTGGAATTCTTATAATTTGGTGATCATTTTGAATATAAACAACATATATTTTGCATTAAACATACAATTTTTAGATAAAAATTGTTCTCTAGGTAATTATGTTATCTTTTGTCCAAAATATATGACATTTATATTCAAAATATTCCTGGTCTTACAAGGAATCCAGCAATGTCAATTATATTATCCTAACTTTAATCTGAGGTATTATTTAATACTAAATGTTAAAAACTCTTGAATGGAGGATTGGTGGGGGGTGGGGGGAGGGTTGGGACTGACCATGCGGTTGGAAGAGGGGGGGAAGGCAAGGTGGGGTACTTTGATTGACAGATAGTGTCGAAGAATATTTTTTTTTTTTTATTAACTGAAGATATTTGTTTTAGCTCATAAAATTCATACAAATTATCCGGCCAGAATATAATTTACATTGCTGGAATTCTTACAATTTGCTGATCATTTTGAATATAAACATCATAGATTTTGCATTAGACATACAAATTTTAGATGTAAAGTTTATTCTGAGTAAATATGTTATCTTTTGTGAAAAATATATGACATTTATATTCAAAATATTCCTGGTCTTACAAGGAATCCAGCAATGTCAATTATATTATCCTAACTTTAGTTTGAGGAATTATTTATTACTATACCTGGTTTTCCCCCAAAAATTTCTCAGAGGGAAGAGCCAGTGAGTGTAGTGTGAGAAGAGGGGGAGGGAGTTGAGTCCATTATTTGAATGGACATTAACTTGGCGACTGTATTTCTCTATTTCTCTTAAGTATTAATTGTGTGCATGTACCATCATAAAATTAAGATGTTATTTTTACTACAACATAGTTATTTGTCGTCAAAAAGTGGAGTTTGGGGGTCGGACTGGGTTCTATTGGAATTAATCCCATATGTTCTGTTATTCACTTAACGCGGTTTTCACTTAACGCGGGACCCTCTGGGTTCAATTGACCGCGTTAAGTGGGGTACAACTGTATATATATATATATATATATATATATATATATATATATATATATATATATATATATATATATATATATATATATATATATATATATATATATATATATATATATATATA